TAAGCGAGTATTATTGGAAAGAGGGCTCCTATATACGTCGAAATCATCAAATAAACAGCTCAGGCACACATTTCTCCACTTCGCGGTAAGTTTACAGAGCGTATTTTATACTTTGTGACTGATCTTTGTCTTTGATGTGAACATTTATTCTTATAGTTTAAGGTTATTTAAGATTGATCCTGTCGTAAGTCTTCTACCTGCAACCATTCGACAATATTTCGTTTTAGCGTTATCTTTGCCGTTACGTTGGCTTCGCGTTACTTTTGTTTTAAATATCTTGATCGCGTTAAAAGAGTTATTTTTCAGGCCAGTGACATAGCTAAAAGACTTGACATTAACGTCATTGTGATTTTATAGAGATATCTCCAGAACTGAGGATTTTTGAAAGCGTTATCTGTACCTTCTCAAAGTTATAGACAAGATATATTGTTTACGTCCAACACGCATAAGATTACATAACTCAAAATTATTCGAGCAAAACCGATCTTTTGTTAAAAGGAAGAATGGTTAATAGAAATTCGTCCTTTTGAGTGACATAATCGTGTATCGTCATCGATCCGTATCGTTGAACAATGAAAAAATTTGTTGTGAAATTAGTGAAGATAAAATAGCATTTTGTGAAAAAACTGCGGGTCTACGGAGTGGGAACTTTTCGGATTTGAACTCAGCGTGTTCGAAAGTGTTAGTTCCCGTAAAAATATTTCAGATCTAAGACATGCTTAATGAAAGTGAACGATATCGGGTCACAACACACGGACTATATTAAAGAGATCTAAACCAACGTTTGTCTTATTTTGCTGGTTAAAATATATCAAGAAGAATCCGTGTAACATTTTGGGGGCTCAGGCGGGAATATTACAGCAAAATTCAAGGAGAAAAGCGATCGCATTTGGTATCGCAAGAGAGGAGTATTTTCACTAATATTTGTACTGAGTATATGAATGTGGAATTGTTTATATGAGGCGAACACTGGCGTTTCCTCGATGAAATGTTTGTACTACGAAGCATGGACTGAACTTGTTTAAACTTACAATTGTGAAGTGGACTTGTCTATTATTCATTACAGTATATTATCCATTTTAACTTGGTTACTTGAAGTATTGGTGTGATAATATGGACTGAACTTGTTTAAAACTTGCAATTGGAAGTGCGAAAGGGACTTGTGTGCTTACAGTATATTATACATTTGAACTTGATTACTTGAAGTTTTGGTGCGATAATTTAAAACTGTGACATTGACTAAAAGTCAAAATGGCTGACTCAGGTTGAAGAAATGTTATTGGAATTGGAGTCGGAAATACTTACATTAAAGTTGGATAACATTTTGAAGTTAGCACAAAATATAAAGCTAGAGGAATCTAGTGTGAGTAGATTTATGATTCTAAAGGCTATACGGGAAGCTATAGAAGAGACAGTGGGAAAGCTAACTGAGAAAACAGAATGTGTGAAATATATAGAAAGTATTAAAGTATTTCTTGATCCACCCCGCTCGAAGAGCCGGACAATCAAGGGGAGGGACCCCAGAAAGAAGCGGAAGTTTCAGAAGTGGGACCCCAGGAAAAATCAGAAGTTGTACAATTGGAAGAGAAGATACAAGAATTGTTGAGTAAACAAAAAGAAATCAAACTAAAGGCTCGAGAAAAAGGGAACAGGTGTTAGTAAGAAAGGTTCTGTTCAACCAGAAAATGTTATAAAAGTACCATTGGCAAATCTTGAAAAAAGAGTCTGCTACACCGAGATTTTAAGATACAAGGTGTAGTTGGGGAACCCGGGCAGAAAGATAAGTTGGGGTATCAATCATTAGTTTCCCAAATTGAAGCCGGTGTTAGAAAACAATACTCTGAACTAGAAATTGTTAACGCGGTAGTTCGAGCAGTCCAACCAGGACTTCAGTTAAGAAGTTATTTGGAAAGCGTTACGGACCTAACCTTGCCCAGGCTAAGAAAAATTATTCGGTTCCATTATCATGAGAAGAGTGCAACCGAACTCTATCAAATGTTAGCTAACATTACCCAACAACCAAAAGAGGATCCACAATCTTTCCTCATTCGAACTCTGACCATTCGCCAAAAGATCATTTTTGCCTCAAAAGAGCTCAGTGCAAGGATTATTTCTGCATACCCTTGAGACAGGGCTTATTAATTAGACAATCCGAGCAAAGATGAGACCAACCCTCCAGAATCCTCAGGTCACCGATGAGGATTTGATTGAAGCCATGAACATGGCTATGTCCGTAGAAACCGAGAGAGTAAACAAATTCAGTTTTTCGGGCAGAAAATCAGCAAGCATATCAACAGTGGAGATGACGTCTGCAAAAAACAAGGAAAAGAGAGAGGAGGGACGAGTATTAGCTGCGCTGAAGGCTGTCCAATCCGACATGGCGACAATGCAAAGCGAGATGAAGTTTCTCCGTGATTCAGTAACCAAGGTGCCTGAACCGGGGGACGAAATGCGAAACAACGTGGCGACGAAGGCTAGTCGACCGAAGCGTGGATGTAGAGAATGTGAAGAGAAAGGTTTGTCAGACACGTGTAATCACTGTTTTCTTTGTGGTGGGGCCAATCATATAGCCAGATATTGCAACATGAAGTTCAGAAACCAGGGAAACCACAAAGGGCTGCCCCCGAGGGACAGGGTGTAGCCCAATCAAAGACAGAAATGAAGTCCCACCTTTGTAATTACTGTTTGAAGAAAGAAAGTAGATCAAATGAATTTCAAATATGTTCGATATGTAAAATTGTGCATTATTGTTCAAAGGATTGCCAGAGGGAACATTGGGTTGAACATAAGACTCTCTGTACATCCATCAAGAACCTCTCAACAACTGCAGGTACAATACCTGGTTTGGGAGATTCCGCAGATACGAACATGTTTGTCAGTCATCTCACCCCAAAACAGAGAGATACCGTAGTGAAGCTTGTTGGGGAAAAGTGTCAAGTCAAATGCCAACTCAATGGTAAAGAAACGGAGATACTTTGGGACACAGGAGCCCAGGTCTCAATTCTACCTGAGAGAATTTTGAAGGACATGTTCCCAGACATTCCGGTTAAGGATATACATGAGCTTTTGGGGGCGGGATCAGATCTAAAGCTAGAAGCAGCCAATGGAACACAAATTCCGTACAACGGGTGGGTATAGGAGTAAATTTTAAGCTCCTTAACAATTCAGCAAAAGAAATCACAGTACCATTTTTGGTCACAAATGAAGACCTTAACTGTCCCATAATTGGTTACAACGTAATTGAACTGTTTGTGAAGGATAATGGCCCAGAAACGGCATTGTCCGCTGTTGCAGAAAGTTTTGACAATGTCAGTAACACAGAGGCAAGTGCCCTAGTTAATTTTATGAACAGCGATCTTAGCGAAAGTCTTTGCGCAGTTCGAACATCGAAAAAGAAAGTAGTTATCCCTAGTGGCCAGACCATGAATATTTCATGCCGTGCAAACACTGGACCAATAAGACGAAACAGTCCTGCATTATTTGAGCCAGATGAACAAACCCATATGCCAATAGGTCTAACAGTTCAAGAGGCTCTGACCACAGTGAAACAAGGGAAGTCTAGCTTAATAGATATTCCAGTAACTAACACAACACAGCACGATATTGTCTTACCCGGTAGACTAGTCCTTGGCAACCTACAATTGGTTCGCTCGGTTACTCCACTTGAAGTCAAATTAAAGAAGGAAGAACTGGGAGAGCAGCCAGGCAACATAGAGACAGAGATTCAGGTAGATCCAACAAAACCATCATCCCTGGAAAGTGAAGAACCCAGACTACCAGATGTAGACTTAAGTGGGCTTACACCTGAACAAAGACGAGAAGCAACAAAGATGTTATACGAGGAAGCTGATGCATTTGCGATGGATGACGAAGACGTTGGGTGTATTGAGGGACTTCAAATGAACATTCACTTAACTGATGATCAACCAGTCCAGAAGAACTATTTGTCAATTCCCAGACCACTGTATCCGGAAGTAAAGGCTTATATAGAGGACCTATTGAACAGAAATTTTATACGCAAATCGAAATCACCGTTTTCCAGCAGTGTGGTATGTGTTAGGAAAAAAGACGGTGGGTTACGATTGTGTGTGGATTATCGAGCTTTAAACCAGAAAACTGTACCTGACATATACATACAAAACTTTATTTAGACCACGCTAGCCTCAACAGCCGTTGGAAGGCTGGTTTCCATGAGGGGCGTGAAATTACCTATTTACAAAAAGTTAACTAATATATACAGGAAATACAAAATATAACAAAATAAATAAATACAATTGATTTTAGCTGCGCGATTATACACAAGCAAATTTCAACTCATTCTTTGTTTCAATATCGACTTGAAAGAGCTTAGAGATTCAGAAATTTTTGCCTCATGGGGAAGATTATTCCAATGCAAGGCACCATTATAACTGAAGCACCTCTTGCCGAATTCTTTTTTCGGCATAGGTGGTGCTAAATCAGTATCCGTATTTCTAAGATTGTAAGTATTATGTCTTTCATTATTAAAATGGAATGCTTCTTTAAGATTTGGTGCGGTGTGGCCATTCAGAACTTTATAGATGAAAATAGATTTAAGATAATTTCGTCTTTCTTCTAGAGGTTTCCAATTTAGATTATTGGACCCTATCCCGCGTATTCAGGAGACACTAGACAACCTGGGAGGAAACCACTGGTTCAGTGTCCTCGACCAGGGGAAGGCTTACCATCAAGGTTTTATGGACAGAGATAGTCAGCCTCTTACAGCCTTTATAACCCCCTGGGGCTTGTATGAGTGGACCAGAATACCGTTTGGGCTAATGAACGCACCCGCCAACTTCCAGAGATTTATGGAGAACTGTTTGGGAGACCTTCGAGACAAAATTTGTATACCATACTTGGACGACGTTATTGTTTTCTCCAAGACCTTCAAGGAACATGTGCAACATCTACAGGAAGTTCTTCAACGATTAAAGAGTCATGGGGTTAAACTTAAGCCAAAAAAGTGTAACCTGTTTAAGAACGAGGTGTCATTCCTGGGTCGAATCGTATCAGCTAATGGGTATCAGATGGACCCCAAGGCGACTGCAGCCGTTGAAAAGCTTAAAGGAGTCATTCCAAAGACCGTAGGAGAAGTGCGAAAGATAATGGGTCTGCTTGGTGTGTATCGACGGTCGATCGAGAATTTTTCGAAGATTGCAAAGCCATTATACGACCTGTTAAATAGGGACACATCTCCACCGAAGATGTCAACAGCAAGCAGAAACAACCACAACAAGTATGGCAATAATCAGTTACCATCCAAATCACTGATACAGTGGAAACCTGAACATTCCAGTGCCTTAGAAATTCTCGTTGAAAGGATAACTTCTCCACCTATCCTCGCCTACCCACAATACAATGATCCATTCCTTGTACATACTGACGCTTCGCAAGATGGTCTCGGTGCTGTACTTTACCAGAGACAAGCAGGCATATTGAGAGTCATCGCATATGCATCCAGGACATTGACCACTGCAGAAAAAAATTATCATCTTCATTCTGGGAAACTAGAATTCCTGGCATTAAAGTGGTCGATAACCGAACAGTTTCGCGACTACCTGTATTATTCACCAAAGTTTACAGTCTTTACCGATAACAATCCTCTTACCTATATCCTCACGACTGCCAAGCTTAACGCCACCGGGCTCCGATGGGTTGGTGAACTCTCCGACTTCAACTTTGATATCAAGTATCGTCCTGGTCGCAGCAATACAGACGCTGACAGTTTGGTTGCCTGGATACTTCGAAGAGTATATGGAATCGTGTACCCAAACAATATCGCAGAAAGAACTTGATACGTCCATCACTTCTATCTGTGCCCTTGGCAAAGGGGATGCAATTTGGCTCACTTCCTTCACCACAGATGAAAACATGTTGGGTGACGACGGGGCTTTCCTTCCTTCTAATGCCAGTTGTAGTCAAATCAGAGTAATTGACATAGCACGAGAACAAGACAACGATCAAGACGTCAAACGTGTAAAAGAGTTTATCCGATCTCAACAAGCGAAAGATGTGAGAAACCCGAGGTGAAACGATTTCTGTTCGAATTAGCAAAACTCCGAATTGACCCTAGTTCTGGTATTCTATTCCACCGATCACAAGTAGTTCTACCAAAAAAGATGCGCCGTAGAGTGTACAAGGAACTGCACGAAGACATGGGGCATCTTGGATTGGAAAGGGTTCTTGCTCTTACCAGAGATCGTTTTTACTGGCCGTATATGAGACGAGATATAGAACATTTTGTTACTCGTGTTTGCCACTGTTTAAAGAACAAGCGTCCCACACTTCCAACCCGTGAACCCCTCCATCCCATAGTTACGACTTCTCCCTTCCAACTGATTGCCATCGACTATGTTCACCTTGAGCGCAGTTCTGGAGGCTATGAGTACATTTTAGTGATCGTGGATCATTTTACTAGATACGCTCAAGCATATGCCACGAAAAACAAATCAGGTGCAACCGCTGCGGAGAAGATTTTTAATGACTTTGTTCCAAGATTCGGCTTCCCGGAGAAGATCCACCATGATATGGGTAAAGAGTTCGAAAACAACCTATTCAAGCAACTAGAGAAATTGTCTGGGGTACGTCATTCCAGAACCACCCCTTATCATCCTCAGGGGAATGGTCAAGTCGAGCGAATGAATAGAACTTTGCTTGGAATGCTGCGGACTCTGCCAGAAACTCACAAGACAAAGTGGAAAGACCATCTGTCTAAACTTGTCCATGCATATAATTGCACTCGCCACGAAGCCACCGGCTACGCTCCTTTCTTTCTCCTGTTTGGCCGCCCTCCACGACTACCCATTGATCTAGCGTTCAACCTGAGAGATAAAGATGGTACCACCACCTATTCCCTGCAGTATGTCTCGAAGTGGCAAACAGCAATGAAGGAAGCATACGCCAAAGCTTCCAACCTAGCATCGAAGAACGCCTCGCGAGGTAAAAAGCAGTACGACAAGAAAGTCCGATCGACAGTTCTTCAACCTGGAGACCGGGTCTTAGTACGGAATTTGACACCAAGAGGAGGCCCGGGGAAGTTGCGGTCTTTCTGGGAGGATGAGGTACACGTTGTATTATCAAGGAAAGGCCCAGACAGCCCCGTATATGACGTCCAATCGGAGTCCAAGAAGAAACCTCGTACGTTACATCGCAATATGCTACTCCCCTGTGACAACTTGTCTACCGAATTGGCCGTGGCAGCGCCTAGACAACGTCGCGACCAGGATCGTTTATCTACCCATAACACATCTATTGATGACAGTTCATCAGATGACGAGGAAGAGTACCCTTCAGTTTCACATCGCATGCCATTAACTGCCGACTCGAAGCACGATGTATCCGATGGAGAACAATCGCTGGAGCTACCAGTGCAGGTCGAATACAACGTATCAGACGAGTTACAGCCGGATAATCGGAGTGGTAATATCCTACCCACTGAAGGCGAACCTGAGGAACCTTTCGAGATACAAGGAGAAACAACTGAAGAAATTTCGGAACAGCAGGATGAACATGTACCTGTATCTGATGGAGGGCAGGAAGCCCTTCCTCCTACTAATAGCCCTCCACCAAGAAATCGACAAGCTCCACAACGACTCACCTACTACGCTCCAGGACATTCGGCCTGTTGTTATTGTGGAGCAGTGATTCTGCCATTCAACCATCGAACGCCCCAATCCCCTTACCTTCCACCAGAGAGACAACCTTACCGCCAAACTCTGCTGCAACCCTGCGAAGTCCCACAACCCTTCCAAATGCCCGCACCTTTCCAAATACCACCACCTTTCCAAATACCACCACCTTTCCAAATACCACCACCTTTCCAAATACCACCAACATATCAGCCCCCACAACCTTTCCAAATACCACCACCTTTCCCAATATTACCAACATATCAGATCCCACAACCCTACCAACTCCCATAACCTGAGGATGGCAACTATCCCACATTCCCACTTCGATAGAATAGTGACAATGAGTTAATTAAGTTTATTTTGTTAAAATGAAAACAACATTTGGTTTAGATTCACTTGTAAGGATTTTATAATCCTCGTAGAAGTACCGAAGATACTTTGAAATCAGTTACAGGACAAGAAAAGACAAGAAAAGAAGAAAACAAAAGATTTGACGTTGGGAGGGCTTGATCAACCCAACCATTGTTTTGAAGGAACAGAACAAACGTCAGAACTGTTATAAGTAGTATAGTAAAGAATTGATTTAAACAGACTCTCCGTGTTAGGTGAATCAAAATGTCAAGGATGCCATTTATTTCAGGAGGGGGAGAGTGTTAGATGAATAACTTAGGTTTACACGAAGTAGAGCATTGACGGTCAAGTTGATCGCGGGCGCATGTAGAGAAACGGCATGGCTTTTGTATGTTAAAATATAGAATGGTTTTGAGCTAGTTTTAAAACGAAAAGCACTATTAAAGTGAACTAAGTCAACGTTTAAATATAAAATTAAAGAAAGAAGAACCCGTGTAACACTAACTTAACTTCAGGTCTACGACATTCAACCAACCGTGGATCTATAGCAATATTGTCAATGTCCTCCCTGATGAATTCAACATTACGGTAAAAGTATTCACCGAATATATCAGCAAGTTGGCATAAATCGTATTACAAAGCGATGTATATAATCCGTGTTACAAAATTGTTAGTAAGTTATTTTATATAAAAATCGTACCACGGTCATATATTCATAGTCTCTTTTACTGGGAAACGTTTTTCTTCGCAAGCGGTCTATCTTTATAATAGCGCCCAGGAACCAATCATAATGCATCGCCTTGCCATATAATACACTGCAATTCTTTAAAAATCATGCATTGGCTGTAATCATGAATTAATTGTTTTAATGAATAAGGGAAATGTGCACTTTTCATCTTCCAGATGATTTCGAATTATGATCAAAACATTAATATGTTTAAAGAAGCGTATAGTTTTCAAATATAATTGCATTGACTGTACTTTTAGTATATAATTGTTAAACTTTTATTTATATGCCATCGTTACGATTAACTTACCCAATATTTTTGACAATTTCGTTGCTTCATAATCTGATAGATCTGTCCATCTTTTCCTGACTACATCTTCCAACGTGACAGTGATCAACGAATTGATACCAGATGACGCCGTGCTGAACAGAAAGCCATGATTTAAAACTGTTTGAAAATAATCCAACTATATGCATGGCCATGTAAAGTCCGTAATGTAAACAAACGCTTTGTTTGCATTATGAACACAGTGCTACAGTTGTAAAATATGATTAGATATATATTATGCTGAATTTTTAACACTCTTCTGGTTCGCTATGCTTGTAAATGAATACAGACTAGAGATTCAATTTAAGAAAGTTCGATCTGAAGGTGCGAAATATTAATAACATTCCAACGGTCGAGTCCCGACTATTGGAATGTAGACCTGCGCAGAACGTATGCGCAAAAGGGACTTTACATGGTTTTTAATTAAAAAAACCCAATATAAATAAAAAAATAATACTTTCTTTTAATTGCATAAAAATACCAGCGTTACCTCAAAGTGCCACTAAACAAACACGCCATGAAAAGTCCAGGTACTCCAGTCAAGTAACCCAATTTGTCAATCACAAAGTAAGGTAAAACCTGCAAAGAAATATAGTAGCTACTTTTGGTTACTAAACAGCTTCGAAACGTGACAACGTCCAATACAAATACCATATATGTGAGCGGTGCAAGTAAACGTTTTTACTTGCATACTTTTTTACTATTTTATATACCCAACATAACGTCAACTACAGTAACACATATGTAATAAAAGTAATTTTCCGTATCCTGTGCATAACGTTTCGTTTTTGTTTGAACCTGCGCACACATATGTTAGCTACATTAAAAATAAATCTTTGAAAATTTAATGTAGTTGTATACAGTAAACTAAATGGACATCATTCAAATCAGACACAACCAAATTTCTACATCAAACTCGTGGTTAATTAGCATTTGCACGAATATTCTTTTGGTGTTGTTTATGTTGTTATCTATGTCATTCCAATGGACCATTTGCATTATAGACTAAATTTTATCTAAACAAGTCTAGACAACAATTTGCGATTGGCAATTTTCAATCATTTTGTTTTACAAACGGAAAATTGATGCCCCAACACCCGATTGGGCTGTAAATTTCCCGTGCGTAATACAAAATGACTGAAAAACGGCAAACATCGCAAGCTAGGCTATATTATCCGCATTTTACAACATTTCGCAACGAAACTTTGGAATATTACTGATTTTGTGATGCTCTTTCAAGCTGTGATGAAATTTTTGTCTAGATCAAAATTTAGTCTATGATGCAAATGGTCTATTGTTGACTGTACTTTTCTTTTTATAGGTAGAATAATTGTTGTTGCAGTTGTTAATAAAGATGTTGTTCGAGAATTAGAGTTGCATCTACATACTAGAGACTATAGTTGGTGGTGTTGGTTAATGTCGACTTGCTGCGGTGCATGTACTAATGGACTATGAAAATGGGAAAGCTTTCTTCCCTTCGGGAATTGGTCAGTAAGATAGAAATTCTGCATGTATGTGAATAAAAGCGTGTGTAGATTCTTGTTCCTTGGCCGAAAAGCTAGAATATAAAACCAAATTTCGGATATTACTAAATCTATTAATATAGTTTTTGGTTAATACTTTGTCCAGGAAAAAACTGAAAAAAATTGGTAAGACCGGAGAAAGGTAAAACTTACGTATGCTCGAAACGAGTTCTAATTTTTTTCACGTAGCTATAAATTACGCAGCTATAAACCTTGCATGGAAATTCAATATTTAAAAGCAATAATGCGTCAAATTTACTGCTCGTGCAACTAACCATGCAAACTGAATATTTGCTGTGTGCAAATTTATGTAACAGAGAATATATCACATTATACTAATCGGACAACTAAATTTATAGAAAGACTTTGTTTCCTATATTCATCCAGTGTAAAACACGCGTCACGCCTATCCGAAAACCTGTCGCCATGCCAATACACAAATCTGGAAACTTTAGCGAATCTGGAGCTTTTGCTCTAGAGTATCTGTGAAAGCAGATACAAAAAGTAGGGCCTAAATGTTGCAATAATACCGATTACATCAGACCTGGAATGAAGTATATAGACGTTGTCGCAAAATGGCGGCATCAGATTAAACCATGCAATAATTCAACAATTGTCATTTAGGGTTATATAACAACGATAGCTAGAGATGATCTTCGTGGGCATAAATATGTTTTTGGCTCGACTCAGACTCATTTTAGCACGAGCGTGGCGAGAGTTAAAAAGAGTTCTGGGGACAGTGGCGCCGCCAAAATTTGGGGGGGGGGATATTTTAATTAATTATGAGTCACAATAATTCTAGTGGAGTTCAGAGGCATGCTCCCTCTCGAAAAAATGTAATTTTGGGTCTCTGAAATGGCATTTCTTGCATTGTAGGGGCATCTGGAGAAAAATGTAAAGATCTTAATAAATCATACTTTAACAATGTCAAATATTAATTGCAGAAAATTTGACAATTCATATATATATATATATATATATATATATATATATATATATATATATATATATATATATATATATATATATATATATATATAATTAATTAAAGTTCTCCCGATTGAAATATACTTTTATTGAGCTTTCGACTCGGTACTTCGAGCCTTCTTCAGAATACTGAGATTAAAATTACATATGCACATTATTTAAATAAAGTTTAATTGCGGTGTTTATATATATATATATATATATATATATATATATATATATATATATATATATATATATATATATATATATATATATATATATATATATATATAGTTTTGTAAAGAATACTGTATTTTATGGGGGGTCATTTCCTGGAGCATTAACAAGGGAAACGACAAACATATTTAAAGTTTATATTATTTTCAATAGGATATCTATATGTCAGTGCATGCCTTCAGCACAATTGTGTGATGTTATTCTTAAAAAGCTGATGGAGCTGTATGTATATACCTGGTCGTTACTGGTAACTTTTTTAGATTTCCTAAGATCACAATCAGCATATACAGCAAAAATCACAAGACCATCCAGACAACAAAGCATCACGACGAAAATAAGTCCAGGAATATTCAACCACAAAGCGCTACATATAAAAAATGTATCCACCAAAAGTTTATTATTTTATATCATCAGATAGAAGGAGTTTAATTAAAAGGAATTTTTCAAACTCGAGAGGAGTAGACCTATAATAGACGATAATCGTCTTAGAGGATTGCGTGCATGTGTTTGGATTTATAGGTCTTCTCAACAAATTACTTGAAAAATACATCCATCTTTAGCATTTTTGCACAAATGAATATAACAAATCCTACAAGTTGATTGGTCAAATTTGACGTATGAAGCTGTTATGTTCACCTACATGTGAATATATTTAACAAAACCAAAATTTGCAAAATGGCGGCTAGCCGTTTAGGCCCGGTTTAGACGGCGAACTTTTCATGCGCCGAATCTAATTGTTGTAGATACGGCAAAATTATATTGGACATATTTACAATGCAAATATATGATAATCATATTATAATGTTAAAAAATAATTATGCATTAGGTTAGGCGCATGAAAAGCACGGCGTCTAAATCAATGTCGAACCTGAGTTGCATATACGACTTGTCCTGTCGCATCTTCGAGTCATGTCGAACTTAATCAAAACCTGCCGAACTTAATTGATTTAGACGCCGCTCCAGCGTCGCACTTAATTTTTGCATTATAGATTCGGCGCATGAAAAGTTCGCCGTCTAAACCAGGCCTTAGTGGAAGTTACTGATAAAGAAATAAGCGGACATTCTGTCCGAAAATAACACAAAAGACTTGTATAAAAATACTAAAACAATTCTTCGTCTCAGGCTCAGTAATTATCGGGAAATATATATTCACCTCGACTTCGTCTCGGTGAATACTCCCCGATAATCACCTCCCCTTCGGCGAATATAATTGTTAAATATTAGGATATAACGATTAGCAGAAAAATATGGCGCGCCGTATCGGCCAAACGTATTCGAGAATCAGAATTCATGTCGAGAATCGGCCGCGCCAAAAGTGAGATTTTACAACCATTCAAGATTTTACAGCTATTCGAGATTTTACAACGATTCGAGATTTTACAACGATTCGAGACTTCAAACTTATTCGCTATATCAACAATTGAAAACTCCCCATGAAAATACCTATATGATTATTGCCTCCCTTAAATTTCATTTCGTCTATAATAGTATACCTTCTGTTTGGCGAAATCGCCGAAATGTGCTTTTCGTTTTAAAAACAACGGCCTTTCTTGTTTATCCGCTGCTTAGAAACATTGTCACCCAAGAAGCGGTCATGTTTCCCAGTCAAACGAAATCGGCTGTAACAGCCAGGTGTCTTTTCATGGACTCCAAGGAGTAGGAAACATGCATAAATATTAATTTAATGAAATACTGAAGATGGTTGACCGTTGGTAATAACAGTGATAAGTTGGATCGTGGAAGATGGGGCCCATGGCATATTATAAACTCGCATTGGGCTGTTCAACATTGCATGGGGCCCATGGCATATTATAAGACATGCGTTCGTGTTGGGCTGTTCAATATTGACCGTTTCTATAGGGTCAATTGACAAGGCGGTTGTTTTCAAAACGGAAAGCCCATTTCGCCAAACAGAAGATGTAATACAGTATTATAGACGAAATCAAATTTAAGGGAGGCAATAAAGATACAGGTATTTTTATGGGGAGTTTTGTTGAAATAGCGAATAAGTTTGAAGTCTCGAAGCGTTGTAAAATCTCTAATGGTTGTAAAATCTCGAATAGCTGTAAAATCTCGAATAGCTGAAAAATCTCGAATGGTTGTATAAAATCTCGAATGGCTGTAAAATCTCGAATAACTGAAAAATCTCGAATGGTTGTAAAATCTCACTTTTGGCCGATTCTCGACATGAATTCTGATTCTCGAATACTGTTGGCCGAAACGGCGTGCCATAGAAAAAACCTTGAAATAAATTTCTCCATTTTAGAATGGAAAAATATAAGAGGTATGAGAGATATTTTGAACATTATATGGAAATAAAGACTTTATTTCCATGCCCGTTCAAGTTCTTGAGGTCCTCGTGCAGTGCGCATAACTCAAAGCTAATCCCATGCAATTTTGGTAGCTTGCTTCCTTTGCAATATATTCAACTTTGGCAGCGTTTACACTGTACCGTTTTCGTAGCGTTCTCGTATTGTTCTTAATCCTCAAGGGGACGCAATAGTCTAGTTCTCTCGAACAATACGAGAACGCTACGAAAACGGTACAGTGTAAACGCTGCCTTTGTTTCATATGCAAATATCACCGGTTTGACATCACATCGCATAATGACATTTTGAAAACGCAATATTTTACCTTGATAAAATATATTTACAAACAAATACAGAGGGATAATTACCAGTTATGAAATTAATACATATACAAGGGCAATTTTTAAGTTTTTTAGATACGTATTCGTCAAGAAAACTATACTTTTCTGAAAACTCATTATGTGACGTGATGTCACACCGGTGATATTTGCATATGAAGCAAAGTTGAATATCTTGAAAAGGGAGCAAGTTACCAATTGAAAATTCTATAAAAGAAATTATTAAGTCATTTTAAGTGATCTTTACAATGCAACCATAAACCTTCGGGGTGAATAGACACTTTAAACACAATGTATAATAAATAAATAAATGAAATTGAGTTAGCGAATTAACACTATAATATCACGATTCTGGGTATTCCCTTTGTTCTCGCAGGGTAATTAAAAACTAATACACCTCATTATATTAATTTCTTCTAATCCTACCCACTTTTGCGTCATGTCAGGTAGGATTAGTTCTAATCCTACCCGATACGACGTCATAGCGGGTACGATTAGAAAAAAATGAATATAAATGAAGATGTCTGAAATCGCCAAAACTAAACAAAGACATGGAAAACAATTATACCATTTAATTTATACCATTATTTATTGTTACAATTAACAATTAATGGCCCTGCGAGAACAAAGGGAATACCCACAATCTTGAGATTATAAGGTAATAGCATAAAAAGAGGCGAATTAGCTATTGAAAACGTCCCGCTCGATGAGGGTCGTTTCAGTAAAATTCCCTTGGGCGCCGCTCGATTCGGGTCAGTTAGTAAAATTAATTATTAATTACTAAATGACCATCATCGAGCGGCGCCCAAGGGGATTTTACTAGCTAATATTAATAGCTAATTCGCCTCTTTTTATGCTATTACTTATAAAACCGGTTTTCTAGTAGGCGGAATTTTGCGCGCGGAGCGGAATCTTTCTTTGTCTTGTGATTTCTCGGGTGGAACTAATTAGAAAAGACAAAGAATATTTCCGCTGCGCGCGCAAAATTGCGCCTAGTGGAAAACCGGCTTAAATATGCTTTACTTTTGTGCACTTTTAACAGATTTAGAAGCCAGGAATCTCTGGACAGCAGCTTGGCTCGCAGTCCATGGAAACATAACAGTGAATGCACCACCGATTGTTAACGTCCAGAATGTATTACGAATTGTTGGGTCTGGATTGAAACTAGAAATAAAGCAATTTTCTTTAGCAATAAATAAATAATATATTTACGAAGAGGCCTGTTAGAATGCAATATGGAGCACATGCATTAGGCATGTTATATGATATACAGTATGCAATAAGTGCAGAGTATGCAATAAGTGCATATAAAGTATTATAAACACGTCATGTTTTCGCTCGCTGCTCGGGTTTCTAAAAATGAATACAAAGCCCAATCGAAGTATCACCCTCGAAGTTGATACCTCTGCCATTCCATAGTTCCATTCCTTCGAGGTGCCACAGAACCAATCAAGAGAATCTTAAGTAATTGTAATATTAAGGTTGCCTTAAAATCTTATTTACTGTAACTTTAGTCCATATTTTCGCAAAGCCGAAAGATCCTGTTAAAACAAATCAGAAAACTCATGTTGTATATATTCTATATATACCATGCGGTGACTGTGAGAAAGAGTATCTGTATGGGTCGGTCCAAACGGCAGTTTGGCACACGCTCAGAAAACATCAGAAGGCTAGGCTGTTTCATCTTTAAATAAGCCGGGAAGCAGCTTTAGGAGAACACGTGTGTGACACCAAACACGAGATTGCGTGGGAAAACTCTAGAGTAATAATTACCGAATTAGTTGGCAGATGACGTCATCTCATAGGTATACACAGCAAAATCCAAAATTCTTAGCAAGAAAAAAATCTTGTTTCAAGCAAGACATTGCTAAGAATATCCTTGCTAAGAATTTTAATTCTTGGTAAGTAAAAACATTCTCACTATACGGGCAAGTATTTTCTTACTAGATTTAAGTAATAATATATCCCTAAAACTAGTAATTATTTTCTTGAAATTAGAATTAGCATTCTCGTTTCAAGCACTTGATTACTTGTTAAGAAAAATACTCTTGCTCAGAATTTTAAACAATTCTTGGTAAGTAAAAACTTTCTCACTATACGGATATTGATTTATTATTGATTTCTTAAAATACGACTGACCAGGATTTTGCTGTGTATAAGATGCTACGTTGTGACTTTAGATCACCCCTGACGCGAAGACACTATACGACTGGAGTGTCGAAACGTTAGGTCGTGAATGCAATTCAATTGGGCTTTGTATTCATTTATAGAAACCAGAGTCGCGAGCGAAAGCATGATTGATATGCTAGGTTGCTTAACCTTAAATATTATAAACACGTTTTGCAAAATTAATTTAGAAAGAAAAAAGTTAACATTGCTGAGTAGTTTGCAGCAGAATTTTCTTGGATAATAGTGTAACGTTTAAGAAATAGAAAACATTTTCCGTGTTTTTCCATACAGTTATAGAAACGCTTGCGGTAATTTGGGTGTACGAGAAATATTCACTGCATGGGGAAACGGGCTCGCGAAGGGCGGGTGAAATTTCCCACGTTATTTCGAGGTCGCCCAAACTGCCAAAAGTGTTCCTACAACTGTATAGATCGAAAAGCAAGAAAAAGTTTTTTATTTCTTTTATAACATAACTCAAGAAAACCTTTTATAATCATTTTTTATAGAGATTAATTTACAAATTTTCATCACGTTACGAAAATTACGTAATTCAGATGTAAAATTGCGATGTAATATTACAGTGCGTCTACAGTAAGTGGGGCCACTTAGAGAAAACTATAACCAATCACATTGCAGAACAAAAATATAAAAAATCAAAAAAACTGCGCATTAGCCAATCATCTATCTATGACCTCATTGAGCGGCATACGTCGGACTTTTTCAGATAAATTCTCTATCAAAAATTGCTCTGTAGCTGTTCTTAAAGTTATTTCGCTCTTGGGTTTTCCATTCCCATTTTTGTATCTGCCATTCCCAGTCCTAGTAATCTAAATCCCATTTTTCCCAGTCCAAAAATAGGCAAATCCCATAGTCCCCATTTACCCCTTCAGGACCCTCTTGTATTATAAAGCAGTATATTTAGTGCGCATTTCCATGGTCTTACTCAAAAAAGGTAAGTCTTCCTCTGTCCTTGTTTATCTGCCAGACTTTGTCAAATCCCCCAACATTCACAGTTCCAACAATAAACACAGTAATAAGACCAGCTACCATGACAAGTGCTTGAAATACATCTGTCCAAATTACAGCTTTGAGACCACCCTAAATACACACAGCAATATCACAAATAGCGTAAATACACTGCTATACCCTACTTAATTTTACAGTTAACCTAAACACGATTTTAAGATTTCAAATTTTATGCTTTGAACATAATGATCAGCGATGATTCATTTTTTAAAAATAAGAGTCCAATCTACTTAACAGCCCGAAACTTATAGCAATATCCTTTTATGGGGGAGCCCCCTTTCATGCAAACTTGAATCAGGAATCGTTTGAAGTTGTCTGCCAATTTGAAGATGTGACTGTTAAATCAAATCAAACTTTATTCTTGCATGGTTTGCACTTCGCATGGACGCCACGCTGGAGGACTGCTGACAAAAGGATATCGTACTCTTTCCATTTGAAGGGTATTTTTATTTGGTTTTAATTAGAAAAGAACGGATCCGCCCAGAGCACATGAATCTAATTACACAATGTGCGCATGCGCCTCAATTTATTAACGGCGATATTCACTAAGAAACTTTTGAAAGGTAAATGGGAACATAATGTGGACATTTTTACCGCACACTTACTAGTGTTGTATAGAATGTACAAACCACGCCAGTTGAAATGATCGAAACTGCAAGAGGTACACCGGCAACTAAAAGATATGAAACACATGATATATTTTCTTATCTTTCAATGTATAAAAATATACGACAAACGCTACAGTTATAGTATATAAAGTAATTTATCGAGGATTTCACCAAATATTGAGTAACGACTAGATATCAGAATTTTGGGCGTGCCACCCGATATCACTAATTGTAGATGCGCTTTGTAGGTAGAAATTGTAGATGGAAATTTCCAGTGGAAATTTAATACATTTATTAGACCTAACAGTTTTAACTGACCTGGAGCTTTTTACGGAGACAGCCTCTTAAGGTTTAAAAACCTTAAGAGGCTGTCTCCGTAAAAACCTCCAGGTCAGTATGGGGCTCAAAATAGATTTCTCTCATACTCTAGTATTTTGAAGATCTATCCTGAACAACTAAAATCGATGTCATTTTACTCAAATTTTCTTTAAATTATTTTTGGGGGCGATTGATGTTCGATCGACTGGTAACCAACTTAATTGATACTCCGAATGGAGGCCAAATATCGACATATTTTCAGCGCTATTTTTTAAATCAAATTCATACCTAAATTTCAAGATTTTTGCTCAGAAATATAGACTTATCCTTCTATTTTCACGGGTAATATGACTTAGATCATTATTCTTTGGTATAAAATAGAAAACAGCGCAGTTATTGACCCTCCTGAACGGATAAAGGATATCGTCTCAAAATATGTCAACTTCGAAAGCTTATTTCAAAATCGTGGCACTTGATTAGCACATGACTTTAATTTTTCTATAAACTACTAACATTAGTCAACACAAATCACCAATAATATCTTTCTGATCTAGCATTTGACAAAAATGACAAGCGCGCAAACTTTTTAAAATTTGAAAATGTGTCGAAATCGAGCATACTGTATCGGTAAACATAATGCACCTATCAATGTTAATCCCGAGGGTGGGGGGTCGGGAAAGGGGTGGGGATTTGACATTTTTGCAGAAAAAAATGTCAAATGCCACTCCCTCGGGAGAAAAGTCCTGGGCAAAATTCCCCACCCCCGGGATGAAATTGTATTCCTGAAGTATTTGGTTTCTGGTGCACTCTATACGTCAGGTGATAGGGAAATGACATGAATACATTCAGCGGTATAATTTAAAAGTATTACAAATATAATAAACGTTTCAAAATAACTTAAAATACTCCTTAATGGTTCATAAACCTTGTGGCAAATTATGTTAGCCTTAGAACATGATCACACCCACTCGGCCAATCAGAACACAGTATTTCAGTGGTCTATATCCCATAGTATATTAATTCGTCAAGTGGTGTGGGCTTTGAAGCACTCTTCTATATAGAGCATACTAATGAGTCTATTGTTTTCTATTGTTTTGTAGCTTCATTAGTATGCTCTATATAGAGCGTACCAGTGACCACATAGAGCATACTAATGAGTTACATTTGAAGGCGTCAAAGACAAATTGTTTACTGCAAAAAATTTTATTTAATATAAAGCTCAAAAATACAGCTGTACCTTCACACAATCCTTACGCAAATACAAACACACACAAATACACACACACACACTCAACACTCCCAAGCATTCACACACACGCCAGTCCGAGATATAACAAAGAGTATCGTTCAGTAACCAGTAAAATTTGAAAATGTGTCGAAATCGAGCATACTGTATCGGTAAACATAATGCACCTATCAATGTTAATCCCGAGGGTGGGGGGTCGGGCAAGGGGTGGGGATTTGACATTTTTGCAGAAAAAAATGTCAAATGCCACTCCCTCGGGAGAAAAGTTCTGGGCAAAATTCCCCACCCCCGGGATGAAATTGTATTCCTGAAGTATTTGGTTTCTGGTGCACTCTATACGTCAGGTGATAGGGAAATGACATGAATACATTCAGCGGTATAATTTAAAAGTATTACAAATATAATAAACGTTTCAAAATAACTTATAATACTCCTTAATGGTTCATAAACCTTGTGGCAAATCATGTTAGCCTTAGAACATGATCACACCCACTCGGCCAATCATAACACAGTATTTCAGTGGTCTATATCCCATAGTATATTAATTCGTCAAGTGGTGTGGGCTTTGAAGCACTCTTCTATATAGAGCATACTAATGAGTCTATTGTTTTCTATTGTTTTGTAGCTTCATTAGTATGCTCTATATAGAGCGTACCAGTGACCACATAGAGCATACTAATGAGTTACATTTGAAGGCGTCAAAGACAAATTGTTTACTGCAAAAAATTTTATTTAATATAAAGCTCAAAAATACAGCTGTACCTTCACACAATCCTTACGCAAATACAAACACACACAAATACACACACACACACTCAACACTCCCATGCATGCACACACACGCCAGTCCGAGATATAACAAAGAGTATCGTTCAGTAACCAGTATAGTGCCTGACGACGAGAACAGTTCTTCGTCTGCTAACGTTAAAGGATCTGTCTGTCACATTTTTCGTCGTGCTAATGGCAGCATTTGTCATTTCTTTCATCTTTGAATCCAAAGCTCTAAATGATGAAAAATTGGCGTCGTTCTTTGCCAGGATGTTCAAATGAAACCTCATATATAAGATCGTCTTTGAAATGTCTGAATAACCCGCAGTAACAATGTTACATAAACTGTTCGCTGGGTATGACAGTTATGGCTTGCCACCTCTCCTAGCTTCCAAAATCAAATCTTGTTAACCAATAGTCCAGAAACCAAGAAATCTTGTGTCGCATTAATCGCTACCCCGTCTATGCTTTCGAAAAACGCCTATGCCAATTACTGACATATTAATGAACCCTAAAACCGAATCAATCAAACGCTGAAAACCAAACAAGCACCAAACATTGTAGTTAAAATCCCTTCGGCAAAATAAACTAATGCCCGATCGAAAAAACCTACTTCATCATAATTAAAAAGGAACAATACTAATTATTTGTTAACAATACACCTAATTAAAACAGACATTCCTCGTGGGGGTGATCATGTTCTAAGTATTGGATAGACAATGATCATGTACAGGGTGTATCAAAAAAAAGGAGACCTTTAGAAATCAAGCATATTGTTAAAATTTGAATGCCTTTTCAATTGCACATATGCTGAACCGTGGGGCGTGAAATATTGATGGTGCATATATTAGAAAAAGGAGACCTTTAGAAATCAACCATTGTTATAATTTGAATCCTGGAGCACTTTGATAAGCCCACGACATGGCAGATTGTTCCCAGGAGCAGACAATCTTTTGTTTAAACGTTATTTCAATTTCTTATTTCAATTGTCTCCTTTTTCTTATATATGCACCCCATCAATATTTCACGCACTACGGTTCAGCATATGTGCAATTGAAAAAGCATTCAAATTTTAACAATATGCTTGATTTCTAAAGGTCTCCTTTTTTTGATACACCCTGTATAGGATAGACAATGATCACTTGTGTTCAGTGGGATTATAGACTCCCTCGAATTAGTTAGACTGCCACTCGGGCCTTCGGCCCTCGTGGCCGTCTAACTAGTTCTCGGGAGTCTATATCCCACTGAACACACGTGATCATTGTCTATCCTATACATACAGTGTCCCAAAAAACCCGCCGAAAAATATTGAAATAATTAACGTATTGTTATGCCTCAGCACCATGCTGAACCCAGACGTGCATCGAAGCTTGACGTATAAGTAAATTTTAATATTTTGTGCATAAAGAAACCGTTTAATTAAGGGCTTGTTCATATATGCAATTAAGGGCTCGTTTTTCTCCGTTTAATATTTACAAGAAAAAGTATTGCTTCAGGTGCATATTTAATACTTGTTTACAAAACAAACATAAAACCAAGTAAAAAGTGTTAAATTAAACCGGCAAGACTTGTTTGACTTCATCCCGGTAAGCGGGCTGGCGTGTTCATATGGAAAAATTTTCATCCCGCCTACCTATATGCATGATCTCGGTAAATTCAAACGAGATCTCGGCAAGCGGGCCAGCTCGCTTTCTCATATGAACACAATGCAAAATTTTATAGGAAAATAGATAGGCGGCGAAATCATCGGTAAGCGAGACGTCCCGGTATTAAAGCGGGATCATATGAACAGGCCTTAAGTTAAGAGCTGCATGTTCTAAATTCCCAAGAGCAGAAAATCGTGCGCTTTACAAAGATATTTTAATTTCTTAATAAGTCAATATTTAATATATGCAGCCTTGTCAATATTTTACGCATCTTTGCGTTCAGCTTAGTGCTAGGGCATTCAAATTTCAACAATACGTTATTTCAATGGTTTTGCGGGATTTTTGGACACCATACAGTATTCAACTACTAAGCTTGCATGAACCTTGTGCTCCAATTACGCTTTGCGCCGCGCTTATAGAGTTTAAAGCCTGATTTCCACTAGGCGGAATTTTGCGCGCGCAGAACGCGCGCAGCGGAAATTTTCTTTGTCTTTTCTAATTAGTTCCACCTGAGAAATCACAAGACAAAGAAAAATTCCGCTCCGCGCGCAAAATTCCGCCTAGTGGAAATCAGGCTTAAGGTTGCAAGGTTTAGAGTTT